AAAAATAGAATAAAATGGACATCCAGGTATCTGCCTGCCTGGCTGAGGGTGGAGCTGCTCTCAGCAGCAGGACGGCCCAGGTGGAGGTGAGGGGGTCAGCCCTTAGCTGGGCCCCAGGAACTGCAAACAGAGGCTCTGGTCCCAGGCTGGGGCAGACACAGCCTCCAGGCTGGCTCAGAGATGAGGTGGGGGGCAGGGGACAAGAACTACCTGGTGGGCTCATCGAAGAACATCACAGGTGGGTTGTTGACCAGCTCCAGGGCGATGGCCAGGCGCTTCCTCTGCCCTCCGGAGAGCAGGGCTGTCCTCGTGTGGGAGCAGGACATCAGGCCCAGTGCTGTCAGGATCTCCGTCACCTAGCCCCACCCCCACCCCAGGTCAGCTTCAGAGTGCTGCTTCCCCAGGCCCCACCCGATCCTCAAAAGCATCTCCCTTAAGTCCATTGTCCCCACCTTGGCCCCCACTCTTGTACCCCCAACTCAGAGCTCCAGAACTCAATCGAACCACGAGGGCCCCTCTTCACTCACCAGCTCCTTCTTCACCTCTTGCTTTTCACTCAGCTTTAGGTTAGCGGAGACCTGGGCCCCGAGGGTGGGAGAGAAAAGTGTGTATGGGAGAGGCACTGCATTGGCCCCTCAGTCAGTGGGGATGGGGACAGCAGACTAAAGGGGGTGGTGAACAGGGGTTGCGGCCCTCACCATCATGGCTTCCAGCACCGTGAGGTGAGGCAGCAGCATGTCCTCCTGCATGATGTAGCAGGACATCTTACGGAAGGTCCTCAGCTCCCGTGGCCTCCCATTGACTAGGATCTGTCCCTTCATTCCAGACTCCCTGTAGAGACATTGGTTATGCCCGGCTAGCTCAGTCAGTAGAGCATGAGACTCTTAATCTCAGGGTCATGGGTCCGTGCCCCACGTTGGGCACCACTTGCCAGGTTCTGTTCAGTTGAACACATTTTTCTGAGTGGGGAAGGCTGTGGATTAGAAATAAATGCAATAATAAACACACAAAGACACGCAAGTATAGAAAAGCGAGGATTGGGTGAGCCCAGCTTCTCTGATGGAGAAGTTGTGACCATGAATTGGCCTCAGGTTTATTCTATTAAAGGGCAGAAAATGGGGGAAGAGGAAATGGAATGCAAAGCCAGTTGGTTTTGGATGTAGATCATCTGAAGATGTGAAAACAACTGGTGCCCTGTAATTTCTCTGATCTTTTCGGGGGCAAATCTGATAAACACATGTCACTTCCTTTAACCTCATACTGCCTGGCAGTATCGGGTATTGGGTATCAGCAACAGGAAGATGGCTGGGTAAAAACAGGCAGATAGCACTTTCATTTGGAAATGCTCTCAATAGCCCTGCTAGAGCAGCTCACCAAGCACATTTCTGCATGCGCCTAAAGGTCACACCATGTTTTCTCAGATTGCCACTCTCCACAGTTATGGACTGGTAGGGTTGGTGGGAGGAGGGATCCAAGCCACTTCAGAACATCTCTTGCTCCCCAAGGTCACCTGCTTCCTGGGCCCTGCCCCAGCACACCCGTCCTCACCTGTATCCAGCCAAGATATTCATGAACGTGGATTTGCCAGCCCCAGAGGGGCCCATGATGCCAATCAGCTCCCGGCGGCAGAATTTACCGGACAGGCACTTGAGGAGGGTCTTGTAACCTGCAGTGAGGGAGGAGAAATTTGTGGTGCAGATACAGTGAAGGGAGGCACCCCCAAAACTCTTATATTAAAAAATCATTTATTTAATTTCATTTGTTATTTTCACTATTGTTTTAATTTGACCAGAGAGAGACAGAGAGAGAGAACGGGAAAGTGAGAAAGCAAGCTACTAGATCTGGGATTGAACCACGGTCGGCCATGTGAGAGTCCAGCACCTGCAGGTCCACCTCCAAAACTCTTAGGGCCCATGGCTATTTGTGAAATAGGCAGTCTCTACTCAGTGAGTTAGGATGGGGGGATGACCCTCAGAGCCCCAACTAACGGTTGCCCATCTCTTCTCATCCTGTCCTGCTAGAAACCACCACTATCAATGTCAAAGTACCAGAGGTGACCATACTCTCTGCAGGTCGGGGAAGCACGCATGGAGAGGGCTACCGGGGTTGTGGGAGACCCTATAGGAGCCCCTGGTCTCTAATCACTCAGTCACTGTTTCACCCCCTCCAGGAAGATGTTCCACTGACCTAGCCGGGCTGGCTGCTGTCCCCATATTCCCATATGCTAGCACGTTTGCTACTGATGTGCCTGTCACTCATCCCCCACCACAACCCCCTTAGTCAGTGAGCTCCCTGGAGGCAAGTCCTATGTCTTATTCATCCTGGACCCTCGGCAGACTGTCTGGCATACTGCAGGTGCTCAGTAAGTGTTCCATCAGTGTGCCTGCCCAGAGCTTCTGCCTCGTTCTGGAAAAGCCTTCTTTTTTGTGAGCTCTCTGATTACCGGGCTCGTCTTTCCAGCCCCTAACACAGCCCAGTAAAATCTCAGCTTTCATTCATTCACTGGGCAGCAGCACATGTATTAAGAGCACCGGTTTGGAGTCAGGTGGATCTGTGTGCAAATTCTGGCTCCACACTTACCAGCTGTGTGACTTCAGGCAAGTTGCTTAACCTCTCTGAGCTTCAGGTCCCTCATCTGTAAAATGAGGATGATAGTACCTATCTCATAGAGTTGTTGAAAAGATGGAATGATGTGATATTTGTAAAGTGTATGACACAGTGTTTGGCACATAGGGTGCATTTAAAAAGTGACATTCTACCATTAATTCTATTTGACTTGATATCTACTATACATCAGGCTCTGCATTCAAGAAGGTAAGATGGATGGACAGGAAAACATCTATGACCTGAAGAAAAATAAACTAAGGGTATAACAGAAGTACAGATAATACGCTGTAAGAATGCAGAAAGTGGAATGGATGAGTGGAGGGGCAAGGAGAAATCAGGGGTGGCTTCATGGAAGAGGTGTTCTTTGAGTTACGCCTCGAAGGATGAGCAGGATTTTGGAAGGCAGAGGGAAGGCAGAACCCCTCCACGTTTGGGGAGGAACTGCTCTGATATATAAGCATATATGTGCATGTATGTGTGTATGTGTGTGTGTGTGTGTGTGTGTGTAATACAATCCAGGGGACAGGGGCAGAGCCTGCCTGGAGTGACCTGGTAAGACATGTGGGTAGAGAGGGAAGACATAGCCAACAAGGAGGGCCAGCCTGCTGGGCTCAGTAAGGGGGGACCTCAAGCCCTGCCTAGCCCTTTGCTCACTACCACTTCCTGCTGGGGAGCCAGCTGCCTCCCTCCCTACCTCCTTGGCAGATGCAATGGAGGGATTCCATGTTTAACTGGCACCCAGCTGTGCCCTGGGCCCCACTGTCCTCTGGACATAGCCCATCGGTCAGTTCCTGCTTTCTGGCAGGTCCAAATCACACCACCTCCCTGAATGGTGCTAACAACATGGAGGGGGCAACTGGAGCCCAGAGACACCCAGTGACTCACCCATGGTCACACAGCGAGTTCTTTACTGGGAGAGGGAGTCACGGGTCTCCGCCCTCTGCCTCTGCCTCAGTCACCCGCACTATCAGTCAGGAAGGCATCTGGTGGCGTGTGGCGGCTGGGGCCAGGCTGAGGAAGTGATTTCTTTTGCAAGGGAACTGGCAGTGATGAACCTTCCCCTGGTTTAATCACAGCCAAGCTCTGGTCGGACACTGACGCCTAACACAAACATCATCTTACACTTGCCTTCCATGGCCACTGCCTCGGCTGAGCCCCACAGCAAGCCTGCTGCCCACCCGATTCGATGACATCGTACGTGCACAGCATATGACACAGTGCATGGCGTGTGGAGTGCATTTCATTATTAATTCTACCGGACAGGTGCTCGCTATCTACTATAGGCCAAGCTCTGTTCCAGACACTAGACCGAAAAAGGAAAAATGAGAAAGACATGGTCTCTGCATTCAAGAAGGTCATAGTTTAGGTAAAACAGATGGACAAGAAAACACCCACAGTCTGAAGAGAAATAAAATAAGGGCCATAACAGATCATACGCTGTAAGAATGCACAAAGTGGGATGGATGAGGTGGAGGGGCAAGGGGAAATCAGGAGTGGCTTCATGGAAGAGGTGGCCTTTGAGCTAAGCCTTGAAGGATGAGCAGAATTTCAGAAGGCAGAGGGAAGGCGGAACCCCTCGAGGCCGCGGAATACCTACTGTGTACATCATCCCTATTTGCAGGTGAGGAAAGCGAGATCAGAGGACGGCGAGCAGCCCACGCAAGGTCGCACAGCTGACAAGTGGCTAGGGATCCGCATCTCAGGGCTCCTGTCATACCCACTGCTAGCATGGAAGAGGCCTGCCAGGCCTTTGTGACACTGGCCTTCTCTAGTCCTGCCTCCATTGCTAACTCTCTGCAATTTTGTCAAGTCACTTCATCTTCAGGGCTTTGACTCCTCATCTATAAAAGCAGGATATGGGGGCCAGCAGGTGGCATGGTGGTTAAGGTGCTGGACTCCCACATGGTCAACCACAGTTTGAATCCTGGACCTGGTAGTTTGCTTTCTCACTTTCCCTCTCTCTCTTTCTCTCTCTGGTGGCATATCCTACAGCAAATTAAAAAATAATAATAATAAATAATATTCATCTTTTGGCCAAAACCACCATCTTCCAGTAATTCACCAAAATGAGGGACGAGCACAGAGGGAAAGAGGAGAGGCACCCGATGTATGTTCTCTAGGCCTTCTAGAAAACATGGAGTGGATCCTTTGGCAACACACATGCGAATCTACAAGAAAGGTGATACTGTAGACATCAACGGAATGGTACTGTCCAAAAAGGAGTGCCCCACAAGTGTTACCATGGCAAAACTGGAAGAGTCTACAGTGTTACCCAGCATGCTGTTGGCACTGTGGTGAACAGACAAGTTAAGGGCAAGATTCTTGCCAAGAGAATTAATGTGCGTATAGAGCAATATTAAACATTCTAAGAGCAGAGACCGCTTCCTAAAAGGTGTGAAGGAAAATGACCAGAAAAAGAAGGAAGTCAAAGAAAAAGGGACCTGGGTTCAACTAAAGCGCCAGCCTGCTCCACCCAGAGAAGTCATTTTGTGAGAGAACCAATGGAAAGGAGCCTGAGCTACTGGAACCTATTCCCTGTGAATTCATGGGTGTTAAAAATGAACTAATCTGGAGCCAACAGGTGACATGGTGGTTAAGGGCGCTGGGCTCCCATATGGCCGACTGCGGTTCAAGTCCTGGACCTGGAAGCTTTCTCTCTCTCTCTCTCTCTCTGTCGCTTTCTGGCCAAATTTAAATAAATGAATAAATAAATAAAGTTAAGCAAAATAATTCTTTAAAAAAATAAACTAATCTATAGCCTATAAAATAATAAATAATATTCAATAAATACTTCTTTTTGAAAAAAGCAAGATATTAATATCTCTTCCTGAGGACTTTTAGTATTAAGTAAGATGATTAATAGTAATTTACACCAAAGTGTTTTGGAAAATCGGAAGTGTCATATATAATTAGGGGTAGTTGGTGACAAATTCTTACTTCTCCCTCTCTACCACCCTGACTCGTTTTCTTCTCTGCCCATCCCTGGTAGCTCTCTGTCTTCTAAAGAAGGGGAGAGGGATTCAGGAAGAGCGAAGTCAGAGAAAAGCGGGCCAGGGGCAGAGAGGCGGGCAGAGGTGGGAGGGATAGAGGAGCAGAGCAGGGCTGTCAAGATGGCAAGATCAGAGGGAGAGAGAGGGCCTGGTCGGGGGCCAGGCTGTGGCCCGTGAACTGAAGCAAGCAGCGAGCTGGCCCATCCGGCCACATTTGTGTGTTATCTTCATTTCTCCTTAAAATCATGAGAAAACGAGAGTACAAAGGAATTAACAACCATCTCGCATCTTGCCTAGAGCTGGCCCCAGAACCCAGAGAGGCTGCTTAAGGGTAGGGAGCCCAGGTGCCTCAGTTTCCCTCAGCTCAGGCCCTGTGTTGCTTCAGTCACTCATGGGAGTGAAGGTGGAGGACGTGAAGCCAGCTCACGCGGAGCCCTGCTCTGAAGCACCCTAAACTAATTTCCAGAACCTCAGAGCACAGTGTCCCAGCTCCACCCTGGCCCACACCGGGCTCTGGGAAGCAAACCCAGCTTCTCCATCCGCAGCTCAAACTGGCCAGGGTAGGGGATGCTGGGGATGGTGACAGAGGAACATGTCTTGAGGGACCGGAGACGGAGGAGGTGGGACTGCTGTCCCAGGGGAGTGAAGAAAAGCAAAGAAGACGGTTCAGAGAGCTGGAAAACAGGGCTTCTGGTCCCAGCTCATTAACTGTGTGACAATGGTCAAGTTTCTCAACTCCCTGGGTCTCAGTTTCCTTATTAGTAAGAGGGGATGACCTCTATCCTGCCAAACCACCACTCTCCCTTCTTCAGAGGGCAGGGCAAGAGTGGAGCAGAGTGAGGGGACCAGGAACAGCTTTAAAAATAGGTCCGAGAGTACTGCTCAAACAGAACTGCAGACGACGCCCCCTACTTTTTCCTATCAGCCCTGGCAAGCAGGAATCCTCTGTGAAAACAAAGAACTCAGTCGCTAAGCACCCAAAGACCAGAGGTCGCGGGGCCTTGCAGAACAGTGACACCCAGGCCTCCCGCTCCTGGAGAGGCAACTCAAAGGGGCCCACAGCTGTCCCCTACCCCGTTTGCGCCAGCAGGGCCCCTCCCGCACGGAATAGGACAGCTCCACGAATTCGATGTCCACGGCGGAGCGCTTGGGCAGGTGGGAGAAGCGCTGAGCTTCGGTGATGTGGTTCTCCACCTTCTTCAGGTGCGTGGTCAGCACAGGGGGCTCCGCCCCGTCCTCCAACGCCACCGCCATGGCCACAGCCCCGGGCCCTAGGCCACAGCCCACGGCCTCCAGCGCCTTCTCCGCCATCGCGCCGCGGGCCTGCAGGGAGATGGCCTGCTCAGTGCGGGGCAGACCCCCAGCCCAGCTCAGAGCTGTGGCTTTGCTGGTGCTACCCCCAACCCCCATTTCCAGCCTCCTTCTCAGGGCAGATCGGCGACTGTTTGCACCCCACTCCTCGCGGGCTGGGCATCTGCCCGCTTCGCCCCCCGCTCTGCACGGCGCCGCTCAGTCCCGACCTCTCCTCTGTCCGGGGGCAGCCCGGCCCCAGCCCGGCCCCAGCCCAGCCCCAGCCCAGCCCCAGCCCAGCCCCAGCGCGGCCCCAGCCCGCCCCCTCG